AATTCAGATTAATAAACATTAATTTACAAGTTCAGAGTAGGAAAAAATAAGTCAACCCTTTAACTCCCGCAAGTGACCAATACAGAATTTCTCTTTTCAATACCAATACAATATCAAGCAGACAGGTGATAAGAATAAAGAAAAATATCAATTAGGAGATTATAACTTGATCCAATACCAAATTCTCATAACTAACATATCACAAGAACTGTATGGCAGACAGTAAGGAGAATTACTAGTGAGATCTTGGGAGTAAAAGGGTTAAATAAATGCAGATCTACAATAATTATTGTAAATGTCTAACAATTTGTGACCAATACAATACACAATCAAAATTTAGTTCAAACTCTGTGATTATATTTACCCTTGATCAAAAACATCTCCAGCTAACTCTGCTAGTTCACTTGGCTCAAATCCAGCCAACAATTGCTTCATGTTTTCTAATGCCTTGACGGTCCACTGACGGACGTTACCACCAAATTTGCGATAGGCAGCTTGGCTCAGAGCAGCCAGTTGTTCACGATCCCATTCCTTACTCTATAACAAAAACAGTACCATACATGAATATATAAGCAATATTTGCAGTAATGAACACTAAAGCATTTTGAAAATAAGGCCTGTGTGAGGAAAAAAAAAAAAAAAAAGATTTGAACCCATGACCACTGCAATACCATTGCACTGGTATCACAGAAGTCTTGGGTTCAGATCCCCTAAAGGCTTGAATTTTTTTTTCAGGCTTTATTTCCACTACTGCTTATAGTGTTTATTACTGCAAAGATTGCTTCTACATTAAAAAAGCTATAAAATATTCTAAAGGCATAAATGAAGGTTGATGAAATTTCCACAGGAGCACTTAAATAATTGTACCAAATCCCATTAATTTCCCTTGTAAAACTTACAGCAACTTTGTCCACATTGGCAAAAAAAGCATCCAGGTTCATGTGCGAGATGAGCTTCTTTAAATTTTGTGATGTGAACTTTGTGAGACGATCAACAATTCCACCAAACTGGTAACTTGTCATGCCACTTAGACTATCCTGCAAAGCAAGAAGAGGATCTTATCTAAGAAAACATTAGGGAACTGATCAACATTCAGAATTACACCTACTGTATACTACTGAGGTATACAAATGGTTTCTGACCAGCCTTGAAATCATACCATACCCAGCATGAATAAGGTGGAAGAGAAATT